ACTCGACCTCAGTAAGCACCCTCACTATCTTACCTGGCTCCCAAGTCTGTCAGGTGTGAGGGGCCCACTCGACCTCAGTAAGCACCCTCACTATCCTACCTGGCTCCCAGGTCTGTCAGGTGTGAGGGGCCCACTCGACCTCAGTAAGCACCCTCACTGTCCTCCCTGGCTCCCAGGTCAGAGCAGCAGCAGTAGTATGTGTCCATTTGCATGAAAACACCTGAGGAGGCAGTCCATTATGCCCTACCTCTCCTATTTCCAACTCAAGCGTTTTTTCACAGGATGGGGTGACTTCCTCTGGGGGGTGGTGTTGAAGAGCTGCCGTTACTCCTAGAACCGGATCTGGATGTGGGCAGAATCGTTGGTTGTCATGACTCGGGGTGTCAGAGAGTCGAACTGCTCCCTCCTATCTTTCTTGGCTTTAATCTTAATGGAGGTTGGTGTGATGCGGTCAGATAAGCGCTGAACTGTTAACCCACAAGGTCAGTGGTTCAAACCCGCCATCCACTCCTCATAAACCCTATATAGGATCACCATGACAACAATGTTAATGGAAGCTGACCACCAGGGTGGGTTCTGAGGTTAGCAGCTGGTGGTGCTATGTGACCTTGAAGCCATGTGGTGAGCCAATCAAGGCCAGCGTGCTTGGCTGGCCTGTAAGGCCCTGTCAGGGGTCTTGTCTACAAGGGCCTCTTGGCAGTTGGAAGACAGCACAGAAGGTTGTGTCCAGCCAGGAGAATGGCCATCAGGATGAGAACTGAAAGCATGGCCCCAGGGAGGCTCTGTCCATCCCATTCCCATGGATACATACTGAGCACCACTCTGAATGTGGCCTTCTTTTCAAGGTTAATGAGCCTGCAGTAATTTAAACAGGAGTCCTGGTGTGTGGCACTGTAGAATAAGCACTCCGGTTTGATCTACAAGGTTGCCGGTTCAAACTCACCAGCTACTCCTTGGAAACTCTATGCAGGGTCACTGTGAGTCAGAACTGATGGCACTGAACAATTCTAATAGCCATGAGAGAAGAGTTTGAGTGACATATAGAGAGACAGCAAGTTGACGCGAACAGAGAATGTTCGTGCTTAACTGTTTCTTCCTGTCTGCGTCCCCCGTCTTCTGATCTCAAGCGGAGAGGGAAGTGGGTAGTTGAAGGAGGAGGGATCATGGAGCCCATCCCTCAGATGGACAGGGAGGCAAGTAGGTAAAGGAAGACTGAAGAAGGAAGCTTGGGACCAGGTGAGGAGACACTTGGATTCTACGTTGAGGAATACGGTTTTCTGTTGTACAAAGAGGAGGGGTGTGGCCTCCCTAATAGGGAAGTGGATCAGGCAGGGGCTGGGTCAGGCTACTGGCCGTTGAAGAGGTGGGATCAGAGAATGATCTTAAGTATGACGAGTTCAAAGACACAGGGTGGACGTCACGAGTCCAAGCCTGGTGACGGGAAGTGGGAAGCAGGCAGGACTGAGAGGGGACGGGTGGATCTAGCTTCATAACACCTCATGCTCCATACTGTGCCTCCTGGTTAACTTCATGTGTGTAATTAAAGCCTAAATCTGCAGACCTCACGTCACCCACCCAACTACACACGTGCATGTACCTCCATACACCTAACAACGCCTTTTTGCTTTCCACCTTAGGTTGACCCCAAAGATTGGCTTCCCTTGGAGTGAAATCAGAAACATCTCGTTCAATGACAAGAAGTTTGTCATTAAGCCCATCGACAAGAAGGCACCTGTAAGTTCACCCGGATGCTAAGCAGGATCCTTATATCTCCGTCTCCCAGCTCACTGAGTTCAGGGTGACGCTCACATGTCTCGTTGTGTGTGACCAAGGACAGGCAGTGCTCAGAACCAGTCCTCTGCACCATCCGGTGAACACACTGCAAGTTCAAGTGGTTGGATCTGCAGACCAGTATTAGTCCCAAACACTGCATTACTGGCACTGGGCTGGTGAAAGGCTCCGGTCCCCGGGAGCATTGGCCTGTCTGTAGATAAATGCACCTGGTGTGGGGCCCCAGCAACCCCAGGGACGATGCACACCGTGTGGTACTGGGGCCAGGCACACCTGGTTCCCTCCTTATGCCTCTCAGAGGATCTTCCCTCCACTCCTTCAACTGATGCTGAGGGGGGAAGGCTTCAGGGGTGGGGCCGCCCATACTCACGACCTGAGATCTGTTAGCCAGTAGCTGTGGTGTGGCCATTTGCTTGGATTCCATGGTCTGTTCTGCTTCCATGTGAGCTTCAGCTGGGGTTACTCAGAATGAGTAAGATGCACACATGATGGTACATGGTGGAATGGATGAGGGTTTGGTGTTCTAATCAAAACTCCACTTCTTTAAAGCTGACCACTTGATGGGTTCTCAGAATGTCCCCAGAATTACAGGTTGGAGGGACTTGCCTTCTAGTGTTTTTGTGTTCCCTTAGCTACAGCACTGTGGTCATTAGTTACAGCATTGTATTCCTTAGTTAACAGCACTGAGCTTTGGAAGGCAAACATGGGCTGTGGTCCGGAGCTCGGGTGGCTGCTCACCTGACTCTGGGTTTAAGGGTGGCAAACTTAAAACAGTTGATGGTATTGTTATCCCCAGGTTAGGGGGTGGCGCAGATGTTAGTCCAGCGTAGTTCAAACCCAGCAGGTCGTGACATTGTTTGGAGAAGACTCTTGACTCCTATTCCATGGGTGGTGGTGATTGTTGTTAGGTGTCATCAAGTCGGTGCCGACCCATAGTGACCTTATGCACAGCAGAACGAAACACTGCCTGATCCTGGGCCAACCTCACTACTGTTGCCATGCTTGAGTCCATTGATGCTGCCACTTAGCCAATCCATCTCCCTGGGAGTCTTCCTCTTTTTCTCTGACCCTCCACCTTATCCAACATGATATCCTTCTCCAGCGACTGGTCCCTCCTGTCAATATGTCCTAAGTATGGGAGACCATCTTGGCCATCTCTGGCTGCACTTCTTCCAAAACGGATCTATTGGTTCTTTTGGCAGCCCATGGTAATCGCAGGTTTTCAAATTAAAGTTGTTTAATACAGACTTTCCAGTCATATAGTAACAACAGTTCAGTTATGTAGCAGTCCTGAGCCACGGGTCACAGTGTACCCATGTTCTATGTAGCAGTGGGACTGGGGCCGTTAGAGCATCTGTCATACAAGGGGGCTTCAAAAGTTCATGGAAAAATGGAACTAAAAGATAATGGCATTTTTTCACAGACTTTTTGAACCTCCTCTTATCAGAAAATTTCCAGAATTTATTATTATTATGTGCTGTAGAAGTGTAATGACTGGCAATGTTGTTGTTAAGTGCCGTCGAGTCGATTCCAACCCATAGCAATCCTATATAGGATTTCCAAGGAGCAGCTGGTGAGCTTGAACCACTGACCTTGCAGTTCAAATGACTTTACAGTCTGATGCATTAGCCCACAGCGCCACACCAGGACTCCTAATGACTGGCAGTAGAAACAGGAATTAAGACTTAATACTTAAACAGTCTAGAAAATTCCTCTTTCTATTGCCAATGACTAACAATAGAAAGAGGAACTGTCTAGACTGTTTCAGTATTAAGGTGTTTTTTGTTTTTTCCTTTCTCACATTTGGCATTAAGTATAAGCTTTTAAAAAGCTGAAGAATAGTTCATGATTATAAATTCCCAGGCAAAGGATTGTAATGTGTGTGGTTGGATTTGCCCGGCCTACTTTTGGTATGTTGTAGTGCTGTGTAGAGCCATCTCTTTAAAAAAAAGAAAAAGAAGAAATCGTGTTTGCTGGTTGCGTACTGTGTGCTAGGCACCGTTCTAGTAACCTGTGTATATAGCAAGAATGAGATAAAGCCCTGCCTACGTGAAGTGGACATTCTAGTGGACAAGATGGACGAGTCCTAGTAAAACAAGTAACACACTTGTCTGATGGTTGTTGTGAAGTGCCATCAAGTTGGTTTTGACTCGTAGTGACCCTGTAGGATTTCCAAGGAGCCACTCACTGTCGAGTGCTTATTCTCCACAACCAAACCACACCCGGGGCTCGTTAATTTGTGACTGGGGAAGATCTCGGCCCTGATGTGGAGGGGAGGGAATGGGAGCGCAGGGAGGAGGCTTTTAGTACTGAGGGGACTATGAGGACCCAGGTGAGGGAAGCCTCACTCCTGGGGAGGGATGTGGGGAACCCAGTGAGGGGGCTCTCAGCCCTAGGGGAGGGGCTCAGTCTCTGTAATCACTTTTCCCCTACCCCCTTGGGGGCACTGCCCTGCCTCAGCCCCTTTCACTGTGGGCAGTTGAAAACCCAACTTTCAACTTTCAACTTTTACCTGAAAGATAGACAACCCCAAAGGTCGGGGCAACTCCTCAGTGGTGATAAGGCTGAGTGGACTCTGGGCCTTTATCTGGTGCTGACGCAGCTGCCCCTCCCCCTCAGGTGTCTCTGCTGCTCTGAGAAAGTCAGCCCCTGTCCCACACTCACGGTCCCACACTCATGGCAAAGAGCTTCCCCTGGCAAAGCCAGCCACCGGGGCCACCACTTGGCTCTCCCTGAAGACCACTGATGTCCACAGTCCTTCCAGGGGGGCCTTGCCAGTGTCATAGATGAGCTCCGTCCACCTTCAAAAAAGAGCCTTTGTTGTATGCACAGGCTGGAACAGTTTCACAACTTGAGAAATGTTGAAAACAGAATTTACATTTGGGTGTAGCCTGCATCTAGAGCGCTTCAGATGGGCCACCAGCCCTCAGTCTCCTCCCAGTCCTGGTTCTGGGGTGGGGAGTTGGGGGCGGGCCTCGGTGGGCTCAGGAGCGGGAGAAAACCCCTCTTAGAAGTTCCACGTGTTATAGTTCTGCTCCTTTGACTTCCAAGGCCTCTTTCTACCTCCTCCTCAGGGGACTTGGCTCTGTTTTCCGCCCTGCCCCAGGTTTTGTGGGTGGGTGTTAGGGGTTTGCATTGCCAGGCACAGGTCAGGGACTGGGGTTTAGATAGTTTTAAAGAAAGATCAGTTGTTGGTGTTTTAACTTGAAGTCAGTTTACCTCCAAGGCCTTCCACGAAAGCCCACCTGCTCACCAGCTCAGGATTTGTCTCTAGGTGGCTGGAGGGGGGATCAGCGCAAGTGTGGTGTAGAGTCTCCCATAAACAGGCAGCTCCTGTCCCCTGCTTGGTTGGTTGCTTGCTTGGTTTTTTAAGGTAGTTCAGTGATAATCCGGGTTCCTTTCCAAGTACCTATTACTCCCAGTGAGGACTATTCAGGTAGCATGGCTGACACCACAGTGCAAGACTGTTTTCTCTTGTGTAATAAGAGATAGGTGGGTAATAAAAATACCTGTCCTCCCAGCTCCTCAGGCACCTCTTGGGGAAACCGATGGCTTAATAACAAGTGTGTGAAACCACAAAGACAGCCACACCCCGGAAGCCAGGGCTCTGGGTGGGGCAGATGAGAAGACGTAAATGGCTAAGCCTATCCTTTGATGAGGGGGCGTAGAGCTTCATTCCTCCGTCTCAGGCCACCCTCCCCATCACAGAATCCTGATGACAAGGACCCTGGGTTTGAGTGAAGACTTTTCAATATAGCCTTTCTTTTTTTAGAGTCCCTAAGCCAGTTTCCCCCCTACAGGCTGAGGTCCTCTATGTGGCTACTAGTTGGGAACTGAGATTGTCACCTGTCGTTCTTTAAGAGGGCCTGTCTGACAGTGGTTTCCTGAGGCAGTTAACGACCTTGGCATATGAGCTGTATGTTGGCCAGCTTCCGTTGTTCCAGATACCTGTTCTAAGTGCCATCTCAGAGTTTTAATCCCACCATCCCATTAGAGGTGTTGCTGAGGTCACTGGTTGGGTATAGAGTGCACAGGTAGGGAGACAGGTGTCTGGAGAGGGCGTGGCAGTGAAGAGCCCTAAGATGGTACCCGGCACCTCATCTTTAAAGAGGGGCTGGTCTATGCCAAGTGAAGGGACTGTGGAGGAAATGTGTGAAGACTTGTTTAGGTGAATAGGTCGGGGCCCAGGGCGTGTGCCAACCATGGAACACTCAAACCCAGACATGCCAGGGTAGAGCCCGTGGCAGCAGTCCAAGCAAGAATCAGAGACTGTGGAGCATCGGGGTCAGACTGGACCCCAGGAGTGGCTGTACAGGCTAACTGGTGGGCTTCCTGTATATACACTCACACATTCACATGAAGTTGCACACGTTCCTGAGGCTCCCATGATCCCATGAGCTCAATTACATATTCAGAAGCTCATCCACACGAGGTCACACATGCTCTTTGCACGTTTGACCCCACAGGTCTCAGGAAGTCTGAAAGGTATTTGCATTTTTGGCACCTCACTTGGGGCTTAAGGCTTTGCTGACACCTCCAGCCCCACAGCCACCGTCCTTGTAGAAGCGTGTCTCAAGTGTCCACTGTGGCTCTGTGTCCGAAGTGTGCCCACTCTGTGTTGCAGGACTTTGTGTTTTACGCCCCCCGCCTGAGGATTAACAAACGGATCCTGCAGCTCTGCATGGGCAACCACGAGCTGTACATGCGCCGCCGCAAGCCCGACACCATTGAGGTGCAGCAGATGAAGGCCCAGGCCCGGGAGGAGAAACACCAGAAGCAGCTGGAGCGGTGAGAACTCCCCCACCCCACCCCCACAAGGCAGTAAACGAGTTTGGGTTTCCCAGAGTCACAGACGCTGGAGCAGCAGAGCGTAGGACAAGGATAGCTGAGCCCCAGGATAGACATAGTGCATGGGTTCAAGGCCCGAAACACAACACGGCCAGAACACGGTGCCCCTCCAGCCTGACCAAGGCCCTGCACTCCAGTTGGACGGAAGCACATGTGGGGGACACATGACGCTAAAATCATGTCACTAAACCTTCTGTGCCTCTCCTCCCTGCACCAGGCAACAGTTGGAGACGGAGAAGAAGAGGAGAGAGACCGTGGAGCGAGAGAAGGAGCAGATGATGCGGGAGAAGGAGGAACTGATGATGAGACTACAGGACTACGAGCAGAAAACCAAAAAGGCCGAGAAAGGTGAGGGCCTTTGTTCTGGGCTCAGACTTCACCGTGAAGCTGAAGTTTCCCACCGAAAGCCACCTGGACAGAGATGGTGTTCACAGGCATGCAGACTTGCCCTGTGTGATTCAGTTTAACACAACACCCAGATATGCAGACTTGGAAACACCTGATGGTATTGAGGTCGCATGGGTGAGAGGAGGACACCCTTAGTGCTAGGTTCTGTGCTCGCCGTTGTCTTAAATTTCCCTACAGTCCTATATGCTAACTACCACATTCCCTCGTTTTCCTGGTGTGGGGACTATAAGGTTCAGAGCAGTCCAAGATCACATGACTAGTGTCAGCTCACCCTCCTCTGTGGGCTCAACGCTGGAAGCTCAGCTTGTTTGTGTCAGCTACAGCATAATGACCATACAGTCCTAGGGCCAGGGGAGGGCGATGCATATGAACCGCCACCCTGGCCCATGAGGACTTACAAGACACCTTCAACATGGACACAGGTGGAATGGGCCCCAGAACACTCACTTCCAGGGTTATCCAGGGGAGGTCTGCCCCTAGGGACTGAGTCTGGTGCTTGGTGATTTCCTGAGTTGGTCTCCGGGGATCTCACTCAGTAACCAGGGCTGGGATTTTCAGCAAGCACTCCAGGGTCCTTACACAGCTGTGCCCATGTCTTCTAGAACTCTCCGACCAGATCCAGAGAGCCCTGCAGCTGGAGGAGGAGAGGAAGCGTGCCCAGGAGGAGGCCGAACGCTTGGAGGCTGACCGCATGGCCGCGCTGCGGGCCAAGGAGGAGTTGGAACAGCAGGCCGTGGATCAGATAAAGAGCCAAGAGCAGCTGGTAGGAACCACCAAGTTTCAAGATCCTGAATTATGGAGAGACTGCTGCTGGGAATGAAAAAGTGACACCTGCTTGCTAACAGTGTCTGTCTGGGGTGTCAAGTGACCTATGAGAGGGTGTAGAGTGACCCTGGTTGGGAGGGGGCTCAGGCCTGGGGGGAAACACAATCCCAGGGCGGCCAGTGAGTAGGGGCATCACAGTGGGACCATTCACTGAAGTATGCCCCCAGTACAAGGTGATGAATGGATGCCTCTGGGAGGGCTCCGTAGTCACTGTAACTGTCGCCCTCGCAGGCCGCTGAGCTCGCGGAGTACACAGCCAAGATTGCCCTGCTGGAGGAGGCTCGCCGGCGCAAGGAGGACGAGGTGGAGGAATGGCAGCACCGGGTAAGCACCGGGCATGGCCGCAGGGCCACCAGGAGTCAGCAGGGGAGCAAAGAGCTTTCTCACCACATCCTTGGCTTGGTCACCCTGAACAGTGCAGCCCCTTCTAGCCCATCCTGTCAGTGCTGGGGACCCCTGAATGGGTCTCCATCTCCTTTCCTAAGTAGGGGGTTCCCAGTACACTCCATGTCCAGGGGTCTGTCCACAGGGACCTATAGAAGGAAGGCTTCATTGTGAAGTCCTATGTGAATTAAGCTGGTTACAGAGCAGGCTCATCCTGAGGTGGGGATGGGAGCAGGTCTCCAGCTGAGGATGGGCCATGAGGCAGGGTAGGTACCTGCACGAGGACAGTTAGTCACATGACTTTCTGTAAGGCTTCACTGTTAGAATACTTTGGTGGTTTTTCCAAGGAGAGCCCCTCCCTGGTGCAGTGAGCTGAGGGATAAGGGTGCACCCGAGCCACAGGCTCAGGCTAGCACATCTGCTGGAACATCTGGTGACAGCCCGGGTCAGGCAGGGTGGTGACGGGCAGAATTCTGACCATCTTGGCCAGCGTCCACAGGCAGGCCACTCACCTCTTATGATTGTCCCCCATTCTCAGGCCAAAGAGGCCCAGGACGACCTGGTGAAAACCAAGGAGGAGCTACACCTGGTGATGACCGCGCCCCCGCCGCCCCCGCCACCTGTATACGAGCCGGTGAATTACCACGTTCAGGAGAACCCGCAGGAGGAGGGCACTGAATACACGGGCTACAGCGCTGAGCTCTCCAGTGAGGGCATTATGGATGACCGCAACGAGGAGAAGCGGATCACCGAGGCCGAGAAGAATGAGCGTGTGCAGCGGCAGCTGCGGGTGAGAGGAGGCAGTAGACCTACCTGTGGGCAAGCAGGGGCGGAGCTGGCCTATGCCTCCCACTCTTACGGTCCCCAGTCCATACCCACCCTTCCCCTGTGTCATCACTTCCCAAGGGGTCAGAGGGGTGGCATTTCAGCCACGAGCTTGCCTGTGAACTGTGTCAAAGGACAAGTAGCTGACTGAGTTTCCCTTCTGTTGCAGACTTTGACCAACGAGCTGTCCCAGGCCAGAGACGAAAATAAGAGGACCCACAACGACATCATCCACAACGAGAACATGCGGCAAGGCCGCGACAAGTACAAGACGCTGCGGCAGATCCGGCAGGGCAACACGAAGCAGAGGATTGACGAGTTTGAGGCCATGTAGATGCTGGCCGAGGAGGGCAGGACTGGGGGCAGGCGGGTATAGGGGTCTTTGTAAGAGACCCCCATACCACGTGGTTTTTTAGTGTGCTGAATCTAGAACCCCCGCAACATATTCCAGTTTCTTTACAAAGCGAGTAGTTATTTCAGTGGGCGGGCTCTGGGGCTGGGGGCCAGGGGAAGCCTCCCTGGTTTATTATCCCAATTGTATATATAGTGCCAAACAGGCCTGAGGTTTTTTATGATTATGTGGTCACTTCTGCTTTGTGCTCAGAGCAGGGCCGATTTGAATTCAGATCCCTCTAGAGTTGGAACAGCAAGCTTCTGCCAGCACGTGTGTGATAACAAGATTAAGTACAATTAAAGAAAAGAAAACCACATGGTGGCTTATATTCGGTGCCATACTTTTTTTTTTCCTTTTGGTATTTGAAATGAGATCAATTGATTTTGTTCTTGATTTTGATGACTAATCCATCTCTGCATATTTTGGATTTTCTTGATGGGGTGACAATTATTTTTAAAATGGAGTCTAAAACACACGTGAGCACTTTCTTCAGCGCAGTCAGCGACAAATATCTGGCCGTGACCATTCGGAATACACGGGAGAGGAGGCCGCTCCTGGGGTACGCTTTCTGTTTTAACAATTAGAGGAATCCATTGTGTAACTTCTTGACACTGAATTAATGATCCGCTCTAGAATATAGTATTTATATATGTGACAATTTGGGTTTGTAACATTAGTTTATAAAGGGAAAGTTGTGTTCTGTATATTTTGTTACCTTTTACAGAATATTAAAGACTTCCATGTGAAACAGCACGGAACACGGCACTTCATCTGATGTGGCAGGTGGCCCTCAGGAAGCCGACTCCCTGCTCTCATCACTCCTGCAACTGTTCGTTGTTTGGAGCTTTGTCCCTAACTTGGAGTGCCATCTGGTATGTGCCATAGAGAGCACACGCACCTCTGTTTTCTAACAAATCTTCATGTTTGAAAACTGCCCGCCATTTTGATCAGACTCCCAACCATGAAATGACTCTGAACACCTATTTCTGATTCCCACAAATCCCTCGTTCTGATCTCTCACCATTTTCTCCACCCCACCGCCGTCACGGTAAAGCTGCTGAAGGGTCTGCTTCCCACCCTGGTGGTCCTGTGCTGGGCTGCCCTCTCTTGAGATGCCCTGTGCCTCGGCTTCCCACTCCACAGCTAAGTGAAATAAAAGGTCTGCAGGGCCGTGGGCAGCGCGCACTTCATGTCTCTTTCCATGGCTGGAGGGGGAAGTCTCAGGAGCAGGCATGTTGTGTGAGGTGGGTTAATGTGCTGGACTGCAAGGTAACCACACAGTCAGCGGTTCAAGCTCACCAACTGCTCCTTAGAAACCCTACACAGGGTCTCTGAGTCAGAACCAACGGCACTTAAATGCCATACAGCATTCGGCCAAGTAGACCAATATAAAGCACAGGAGACATCATCTCGTTGCACTTCATGGATGGGGTGATTGGGGTTGGTTATGTAAGGGGGCTTCAAAAGGGTCCTGGAAAAATTGAATTTTTCCACAGTAACAAAGAAGAAGAGTGGCCCAAATGGTTTGCTGGTAACCAAAAGGTTGGCTGTTCAAACCCACCCAGCTGCTTACACACATAACGGGGCCACTCTAATACCCATAATATTATTCCATAAGTACTAGGAGACAGGTAATCAATGAACATTTATTAAAATCTGGACATTCCCACTTCTCAAAGAACGGTCACCAACCCAAGACTTACTTCTGTAATATCAGCAATCGCTCTTTATACACAAAGTGGGATCTGAAGATTATGGCTAGTTGGCTCCTGGCTGTGGAGAGGGAGGCTTTCACATTCCACACTGGACTGCAAGGTAACCACACAGTCAGCGGTTTGTGACTTACTTCACTGCCCTCGCAGTCCTCAAAGGCACCCAGGGACCTAGCAACCTTCACTTCAATGTAAGATGAGTGTCATGTCTGTCCACAAATTCGGACTGGAGAGGACTTTCTGCCATTGGAGCTTCAATGGGGAGCATGAATCAGTGCCTCCCGCTGGCTCTTCCTCTGTAACGAGAGGAAAATTAAAGCAGTAGCATCTTGACATCTCTTGCTTGAGCTTTTTAAGAATGAAGGTCAGCATGAACCCCTAGTATATTACCAACCCCTAGACTATAATGGGAAGACTCTTCAACAAAGCTAGTGCTCTGAGTATAGGTGGTCCGGCCTGGGGGCCATTTTCTTGACTCTGGTTTACTGGGCTGCTGCTACACTGCTTAATAAGTTACCAGGGTTAGGGTGGGGAGGAATCTGAGACTAGGGGCCAGATTTGCTCATTTGGAAGTAGGCCCTTAGGGGAAGGAGCATGGTGGCTCTGCAGGATAAGCACTGGGCTGCAAACAATGATGTCTACCGTTAGAACCCACCAGACGCTCTGGGAGAAAGATGAAGCTTTCTGCTTCCACAAAGACTTTTAAACAGCCTCCGAAACCACAGATAGGTCGCTATGAGTCAGAACCGACTATGGCACTTAACGGAAGGGGGTCGCTATGAGTCAGAACCGACTACGGCACTTAACGGAAGGGGGAGTGTATCTTGGGCAAGGTTTGTGATTGAGTCTTGTTCATCTTAAGTGGAAATCTGGTGTCAGAGTATTTAGGGGCCCTGCTGGCCCCTCCACCAGGCATCACCCCATACACAATGCCAGTAGTTGCCATTTCATCCTACTCCCAAGGAAATGCTTTGTGAATCGCCATTTGTTTGGGTTAAGCTATTTTTTCTGTAACACAATAATCCTTTTATGATTGATGCCAGAGCAAAAGCCAATACTGTACCTAGCCTAGTTTTTGTTTCCATAGCAGACATAAATCGGATTTAAATTGTTCGAATACTTGGCTTTATTACCTCTCCATAGTAAGAATTAAGACTTAGTAAGTAAATCCCACTTCGGGCAGGCAGGCAGGCCTGGCCATCTCCAAGCTAGCTAAGTCCCCTGCTACTGTGGAAGCATTTTGTTCTTGTAAGACCATCATTAAGGATAAATGATGTTTAAGCCCAAATCAATACTTGGCCATGAACTTACTTGAACCAAGTCTGGCTCCACCCAGGAGGCGGTCGTTCATACCAAAGATGGCCTGGTCCCAAACAGTCAGTTCCAAACTGGACTGTTTGAGTTGAGAAGTCGTGACCCCATTGAAGACAAAGGAGTGTTTCCACTGGGGACAAGCTTGTTTCTTCAGGACTGGAGACTTAAGTCGTAATTTGTGTTGGTCTGGCAGGGTGAGACAGCTAGACAAAAGAAAAATCATGGAAACTCAGTAACAATCACCCTCCACACAGCTTCCTTCCCTACTAGTACTCAAGCGTTGGCAGACTATATATAGCACGGCACTAAATCCTTTCTGAAAGGAAAAACTATGAGTAACGGAAATTAAAACTGGGACGTTCCAAATTTCTCTTAGAGCTGAGTCCTGCACCAAGCATTATGGGTAAATCGTAATGCTGAGGCCGCATCACCCTTGTTTTAATCTGGATATGCCTCCTACCAGTTGCTAGTACAGCTTACGAGAACTGCTACTAGAACCTTGTATACGTGTGTGCACTATCTAGACTCTTGGGAACATGAATGCAGAAAGGTCAAATAACTTGCCCAAGGCCATACAGGTAACAGCACACACAGCAAGGTCACAGGACTATCTTGACACCCTTGGGCAGTGTTCCTCCCTGGCTGGGGGAGGTCAACTCAACAGTAAGGACCTGTTTCCTTCTCCTTTGAAGAGAGGAGACTGGCACACACACAGGTCCTAGGTCACAATGACTTAAGATGTTACCTATGGAAATAACTACCACACACACTCCTGTTTTCATGCTTGATTTAAACACACAATGGATGTCATAAGCACAGATAAGATACGTGTTTCTGGTCAAAATGTAGTCTTCCAAATGTATTTTCAGCGTGTCCAAATCCCTTGAATTCTTGGAAATCAGGGTTTTAATATCGGTTCTATTGGGTTTTCATAGGAAAGCTTCAATAGGCTGAGCTTCAATGGCTGCCTTATCCTTTTTAATGTTCCAACAGTTTCTAGGTTCATGGCATCTATCAGTAAGTAATTGTCCCCCATGTGGTGCAAACAGTTAACATACTTAATTTCACTGTTAACCAAAAGTTGGAAGTTCAGAGGCACTTTGAAAGAGAGGCCAGGTGAGTTACTTCCAAAAAGGCAACCACTGGAAACCCTACAGAACACAGTTCTGTGTGTGAATGGGAGAATCAGGAACTGGATTAGACTCCGTGGCAACTGGTTTTCCTGTTTAAGCTTCCAGAAAGATCCAGGTGTGATGTTATAAGCACTGGACTACTAACTGCAAGGTGGTGCTGTTAACTGCCATTGGGTTGGTTCTGACCCATAGGAACCCTGTATAGGGTTGTCAAGGAGCAGGCTGGTAAACTTGAGCCACTGACATTGTGGTTCAAGCCAACGTTGCAGTCTAGCGCATTAACCTACAGCACCACACCAAGGTGGATGGTTCAAATCCACTAGCTGCTCTTGTGGCTGTAAGTCAGAATTGGTTCTGCACCTGACCTTGATCTCTCTCATGGGTCAACAGAAACTGGTCAATAGTTATTTGATTAAATCTAATGCTTACCCCTTAACAAATGAGTTTAAGGTGCCATCCGACCTCACAGGTAAGTTCCTGGCTCCCAGCACTACCAGACAGAGTTGACCATCGAGTGATGGCTGGTCTTCTGTTCCTGGAAGGAAAGTTAGTATGCAATCTCATCACATCAAATGGATAGCTCAATGACACAAGTTGTCTTCAGATCCCAAGAAAGCAGGCTCAAGTCCCACCCCGAGACACACCTGGTCCCACCAGCCTAACGTGGTAGCAGAAGGAAGGATTGCTAAAATCCAGGAAAACAGTAGATTCAGACAAAGAGGCCCAAGGAGAGGCAAAATGCAGACTTTTAAATTTCACTGTAACCAATGGTTTCTGGAAAGTAGGGGCCAGAAGTGACTACAGGGTGCTGATGACCCTTCGAGCTTGAATGTCAGAAAGTCCTCTTCCAGGAATAGGAAGTCACTAAAATCTATAAGGAGCTCTGGTAGCGTAGTGGTTACGAATCGGGCTGCGACACGCAAGGTCGGCAGTTTGAAACTACCAGCTGTTCCATGGGAGAAAGATGAGGCTTTCTGCTCCCGTAAAGATTTACAGCCTCGGAAACCCTGTACAGGGTCACTATGAGTTGGAACCGACTCCACGGCATACGACAACAAAATCTATAATGGATTGTACCTTCTCACCATCCTCATTCTCATTATTTCCCATACACCCCTGTGTCGTTTGAATCTCTAGCTCTTGCTGCTAACCACATGGTTAATGGTTCAAGTCCACCCAGACATACCTGAGAAGAAAGTCCTGGTTTTCTGAATTTGCCGCTAAAAACCCTTGTGTGCTCTGGCACATATGGGGTCACCATGAGTGGACTGAACAGCAACTGATTTTACTGTAAGTCTCTAGCATCTGACCTCGATCCCCTACCTTCCCTGGCAACAGGAACTGGGAGGCACTCCTGACCCTTCATGATCCAGTCTACACTGCAAGGGGAGACAGGCTGCACTTGCACCCTAAAAACCATGCAGAGTGGGTACAAAGGCCTCAACAGTTTAAAGAAATCTGGTTCTCTTACAAGTTATGTGCTTCCAAAGAGCCATTCCTCTGTTGGGAAGACTCTAAATGACTGGCATGTAGGGGTCCATGGATTGTTATGCCTAAAACATTCTTGTCCCCTCAAGCTAACCTGATGTCTCAGACTTTCATTAACAGCAACAATGCCCAGGACGAATGTTCAGGAGAATACACCTACCTTCTCCGGCCTCCTGGTCCGGCCTGGGTCCTGAAGGGAGGACAAGTTTAGCCCGGATGTCAAGTTCTCCATTGTTGACAGACCTACTGTCTTCACACTTCTCTGCCTGGGGGACAAGGCGAGGCTCAGAAGGAAGATCCCAACCCAGATCACCAGGTGCCTCGACCCTGGCTCTTTCCACAAATTTCCCCTCCCAAAGCCCCTACAGGCTCAAGAAAGCCCTTGGGTGGAGGGGACGAGACCGGGAAGGTTTGTCCTTCCTTCCATCTGCTGTGAATCTTCATCTCCAACCTGGGGAAAAAGCTCATCCAACCCAAAAGCCCACCCTAGTCAATGCATCAGATTAAAGTGACCCATCAGATTAAGGGGGCCCACCAGAATAGGGGGAGTCCTGGTGTGGCACTGTAGGGTAAACATTGGACTGCTAATCACAAGTTTGGTGGTTCAAACCCACCAGTTGCTCCTCAGAAATACTATTCAGGGTTGATATGAGTCCATACTGACTCTATACCAAGAACCAGTAGAAGGAACTACCCATCAGAGGAAGGGGCCCACTAGATTAAAGGAGCCCACCAAGGAAGGGGTCCTACCAGAAGAAGGAGACCTAGAGAACCTAAGGCACCCCTACACAGGGTCACCCCAACAAATCCTGCACACAACTTGAGTTTAAAAAACCAATGTCACCGCTACTCTAGCAAGCAGCAGCCCCTAGGTGACAGGAAGGGCTGCCGGGGAGGGGGGCAACACCCCCAGGTGGCGCTTCCTGCAGGCCAGCCCGAGGCAGGAGAAGTGAGGAGGGTGGCAATCAGAGCCTCCACCCAGCACCCCAGCACCGTGGCATCTCCTGGCACAGGGGTTCACGAACGCTGGCTGGCACCAGGGAACACCTTCTGACTTGGTGCACTTTCTCCTTGTCTGCTTGCCAGAGGTGCCGTCTTACATATGACCCTGCGCCAAGGACTGGCGACAGAGGTGACTCCACCCAGTCCCTGGTCAGCGGATTGTGTGTGAGTGGGGCTGGGAGGAGATTAAACTTTTAGTGGGAGAATCAGAGAGGGCATCCTGGAGGAGGCCCTGGCCTGAGCGATGGAGGGGCAGCCCAGGGAGCTCAGGGAGTCCCGAGAGCAGCCGGACCCTCAGTGTGAGCGGAGCACAGCAACAAGGGGTGCCAGACCTGGCGGAAAACCCACAAAGGCAGGCAGGGGGGCCACTGGCTTGTCTTGTAGTGGACGAGGTGGGCAGCCGGCAGAAAGGGAAGGATGTTGTGTGGGACAGGGCTGCCGTCTTGACCAAAACCAGCTTTCCTGAAGGCTCAGCAGGACAAGGCTTTGGCCACGTGGCCGGCAGGCAGCTCTGGGTGAGGCGCTGGCTGGAGTCACACGGTCTCGTCTCTGAGCAGAGAGACGCATTATGACTCGACTCGGGGCTTCAACGAGTCAGGACCCCCATGACCTTGGAGCGAGCCTGCTGTGATCTCTTTGCTGTGGTGCCCAGTACTGTCGGGAGCCAGGCCGCCTTCTTTCTTCATGAGAGCCCCATTCTGCATCTGGGCACAGCTGTGTGGAAAGGAGCGACCCAGAGCTCGAGTCTAGTCAAATCACACTTGGTCAGCCTGCTGTCCCATGCTGCTGCAAAGCCAGATGCCTGGAGCCCATGGGCTGGCCTCTGTCCCAGAGCCCAGGTACCAATGACTGCTCACCCCATGTTACTGGGGACCAGGGGTTGCCCCAGATCAAGAGTTCCCAAACAACAGCACATTTTAACCAGGCAACCAGTGACTGCAGCATGGTCCCCTCAGGGATGGCAGGATGGAATGCCCACAGACCAGTGAGGACTCCAACCTCACCCTCCCACCCCCACCACAGACATCGAGAGGGCCAGAGGAGGCCTTTGAGGCCCAGGCTGATGTCACCCCTTGTGCTGCTTGGAAAAGGGGTGCCAGGGGCATGAACAGGTTAAAGTCTGAGCAGGTTAAAGAGAATCTCAACCGAATCCAAAGGAGCCTCAGTGGCAGACTGTTCACAAAGGCCAGCAGTTCAAATCCACCACCTGCATTGGGAGAGAAAAATTCACTGGCAGCAAGTCAATTCAGACTCCCAGGTAGGGTTTCAGAGGTTGTCAATTTCTTTGAATGGCGTAGCTGGTGGATTCAAACTGCTGACTTTGTGGTTAGCAAGTCAAGGAGTAAACCACAGACCAGACCTGGCAATCTGTCCCAATAAAGACAACAGCCTGGGTAACCCTATGGGGCAGTTTGATTCTATCATGTGTGGTTGTTATGAGTTAGAATCAACTCAATGGTACAGCAACAACCTCACCTAGGACATCCTTTCCTGGAACCATCTCTGCCTACAGTTTACAGTGTGAAGTTCTGACTGGCAGGCCCAGTCACCGTACCTCTGAGGTCCCTGCCTCCTAGCTGGCTTTGCCTTCTGAGAACCTCTTGAAAAGCCAGTTTAGTTCTGGGGGTGGGGGCGGTGTGGGGATTCCTTCAAAATGGCCAGTCCCAAATCACATCTCACCTTAGGCTGGAGCGGGTACCAGAAGGCCTGTGTTGCACTGTCTCCAAAGTCCCACGTGGCCAGAGGAACAAGCACCTCGCCAAGAAACACCCGCCGGGTGAGGGCACCCAGGTGCCACACAGACACCTGCAGCTGCCGGGCTGCCAACTGTCCAGGGTCCACTTGGTACTGCGAGGCCAGAGCGGAGGAGTGTCAGCACAGCCCACATCCTGGGTCTTCCACAGCCTCCCCTTTAGGCTGAGGATCCAAGATGGGCAGAGGCCTCTCTCTGTCTAGAGAACCAAGACCCCAGCCCCCAGGCACTCTGCTCACTGCCAGGGACTGGCTGGCATTCTCAAAAGAGAGGCAATGTTGCTCATCTTCAGCCACGATCCTAGAAACCAAGCACAGGTCCCTACCAGTAGTGTGAGCACGTCCGGCCGTGCTGATACCCAAAGTTCTACATCATGGCTCACGCCAACAACCCCATTGAACCGGGGTTCTCCCACAGGGAACTGGGAGGTCAAGGTGCCTGTGTGCCGAGGGTCACACTGTCCTACAGGTGTGCGGCAGCTGGGCTGGGCTGAACTAGTGCTTGACTGAGTCCCGTTTTTGAACCCTGCTCACCCCACACTCCCATCCCTCACCCACCCCCGATCCTGGGATGGCTTTGATCTTACTGGATAAGGCATGTGTAGAACATTGGAGAGCAATGTTGTCAGGAAACAGCAAAAGTCACGTGATCCAGGGTTCTCATTTCAGACCTGCTCTGCAGGGATCTTCAAAGTGAGATACAACCTCCCCCCATCCGGAAGCACAGAAACACTCCCCAAGAGGTACTCTGCCCAGAAAACTTTGAGAGGTCAGTTTCTGGATCCTCAGTGTTCATATGTACTTTTCTCAAAACTGGCTGAGGTCCATTCTTACAACCCAGGCCTACAAACTTTGTAGATGCCAAAGGATGATACACACACTACCATCTGAGAAGCTTTTGTTTGGTCAGTGTGACTGTTGACTTAGGTTAGGTTAGGGTTCCCAGTGGATTGGCCAAACATGAGCCTAGTTGCTGTTCCATAATGCTGTTTAATGCAATGTGATGTCATCCGTTGCCTTTCATAATGAAATTTAATGTAATGTAATCAGTCAATCCATTGCAAAGGGTGTTCTTTAGGTGCGGTATGCCTTCAGAATATAAATATTTTGGTAGAATGTGAGTGCTCTCTTTCTCAACTCTGTACTCTTCTAGTCTCCTGACCTATAGATCTTGGGACTCCAATCAGCGAAGTCTCTAGTCTGCTGACTGACCTATGTAGTTTAGACTTGCAACCTCTACAGTCCAAGAGTCAGGAAGAGCCTCCAGCCTGCCTACCAACTTCCACAAGTGTGTGAGTCAATTTCGTGAAGTAAATCTCTCTCAAAACCCATCAAGTTGATTCTAACTCATAGCGACCCTATACAAGGTCCCTATGTAAATCTTTATAGGAGCAGACAGCTTCCTCTTCAAGGAGCAGCTGGTGGGTTCAAACCACTGACCTTGTGGTTAGCAGCCCAATGCCTGGTCCACAGTGCCACTACTGTATATATACAAGCTACAAGCACTTGGATAAAAATTTTAGGTGACTTGTTTGCTAGTCTGCATCGTCCACAACTTACAACATATTCACGCTATGATGGGTTACATGACCATCTTGGTTTGCTTGTGTGTTTTTTTGCTTCTTATCATTAATAATATGTACTAAATGAAGTCTTGGTGTAGTGCTATAAGATAAGCACTGGACTTCTAGACACAAAGTTGGGAGTTTAAAACTCAGCAGCCACTCCTTGGAAGCCCCATACAGAGTCGCTATGAATCAGAACCAACTCCAAAGCACTTAACAACAACAAATATACCGCTGCACTGTGTAATATGCAATGTTTCCAACCCTCAAAGACAAATCAAAGTCATTTATAAAGATACTGATAATAAAATAATAATGTAAAAAAAAAGACGTCAGAGCTGACTTACCGAAGTGTCGTCAGAACTGAATCCCATCATAAATTGAGGACTACCTGTATGTCAGCAGCTCAAATCCACCAGCTGCTCTTTGGAAACCCCGTACAGGGTCGCTATGAATCAGAACCAACTCAAGACAGTTAACACATATGTTGTTGTTGTTAAGTGCTATCAAGTTCATTTCCGAGGAGTAGCTGACGGGTTTGAACTGTCGACCTTGTGATTCACAGTCTAGTACATTGCCATATCAGGAGTCAGATATGTGTCTTTTTGGTTATATATATATATATATGCATCATATATATATAACCAAAAAAACCAAACCTACACACATTGATCAAGTCTGATTCATAAAAACCCTGTATAGGGTTTCTGAAGCTATAAATCTTTACAGGAGCAGAAAGTCTCATTTTTCTCCCAAGGAGTGGCTGGTGGGCTTGAACCTCGGACCTGGTTGCTAGTAATCTAATGCTTATCCTGTAGCACCATGAGGGTATAATTAATTGGTTCTGTTTCACTAGAGGGCCCTAGACAACGAGCTTCCCATCTTTCATGTTTTGCATGTTTCCATTAAAGACACAGCTTGCCCATGTGAGGCTGTTCAGGGTATCAGGGACTTCTTCCTGGATGGTATCAGGACCACTGAAATGCTGATAATATTCTGGATAAAGCCCTTGGATAAAAATTTTCGGTGACTTCTTTGTAATTCTGTGTACATTTTGAATGTTGTTGTTGATAAGGGTCACTGAGTCCATTCCGACCCATAGTGATCCTATATAGGGTTTCCAAGGAGCAGCTGGTGAGCTTGAACCACCGACTTTGCAGTTCAAATGACTTTGCAGTCTGATGCTTTAGCCCACAGCACCACACCAGGATTCTGTGCGTTTTGAATAGGTAGTTAAATATTTGAAAGCAATCAAACAATTAAATATTTATTTAAACAGTCAAGACTTAAAAAAAAAAAATGGTTAAATGCCACCAAGTCAGTTGTGACTCATAGTGACCCTGTGTAGGGTTTCCAAGGAGTGGCTGGTGAGTCTAAACCACTGACCTTGCAATTCAAACTGACCTTACTTACCCTATAGTGCCACACCAGCCAATCCTTAAATCAGTTTATAAAATGTGAAATAGTCTACCTCTGTTTAACAACATCCTTAATTTAACTTATGATCAATATTTTTAGATTGCAACTTAAAATATGTGAGGGAGATATGCAGTTTTTCAAAAATATTCTTAGCAAGTATGTGAGGAAAAGCATCTGAATGAACTCATTTCTAGGGACTTGTCATTGAAGCATGGTCCCTGGACTAGCCACATCAGCACCCTCATCCTAGCAGCATAGGTACCCTCATCACAGCATTATCAGTACTTTCATCTCAGCAGCATAGATATCCTCATCCCAACAGTATCAGCACCACCATCCCAGCAACAGCATACCACCTTCCCAGCCATCAACATCCTCATCCCAGCAGCATCAGCACCACCATCCCAGCAACAGCACACCATCATCCCAGTCGCATCAACATCCTCATTCCAACAGTATCAGCACCACCACTCTAGCAACATCAGTACCAGCATCCCAGCAGCATCAGCATCCTCATCCCAATAGCATTGGTACCCTCAGGCCAGCAATATCAATACCACCATCCCAACAGCACCAGCTGGTTAGAACTGTAAAATCTCAGGTTCAGCCCAACCCTGCTGAATCAGAGCCTGTATTTTAGAAAACTCCCAGGGGATTCCTATGCACATACATTTTGAGGAGCACAGTTATCCATTGTGGGTTAGCACTGTTCTTCCAGGAAGTATCTCTAAGCCTCAGTTTCTCCGGTGGGAAATCAGGACTCTAAGACCTACCGTAACCAATACACTGTCAGAGTACAGGAAACAACTATGGCTATGATTATTTCACAAACTCAGTTCTCTTATGTTAACTGCCTAGAAGCCCTTGGATTGGAGCTCCCATCTGCCCCCATGCATCAAAGCCTTTGCAGACTGAGACAATGGGATCCTGAGCTGCTCAGCTTTTCTGGGGCGTCTCCCTGTCTGCCTGCTGCTCCCTCCACCCACCCATCCACACACTCCAGGCATTAGCTCCAGCTCTCTCCTTCAATTAGTCAGACAGCTGCTCCCACTTCTGCCCTAAAGCAAGTCATGCATCTTCATCAATAACCAAGAAAGTATAAAATCCAAAAACTTTTCATAAGCTTTTCCACAAATAAGAAGCAAACTTGATTTGCTCACTATTACAATAAAGGAGCACTTTGGATTAGATATTAACTCAGTAGTGGAGTCTACACTGAAGGAGCCCTGGTGGTGCTGTGGGTTAAGCACTTGGCTGCGAACCAAAAGGTTGGCAGTTCAAACCCACCAGTCGCTCAGTGGGATACAAATAGAGTCTGCGTCCATAAAGGTTAAACCCTAGGAAACGTTATAGGGCAGTTCTGTCCTATAGGGGCACCGTGACTGGGAATTGATTCCATGGCAACAGATTTAGTAGTCTATACTCTTAGTCTCTGGTAGTCATAAAAATGCAATAGGACCACCCAGCTTGTTTAATTACTCTGCCTGTGCCTAGTTGTTAGCTGGAGAGAAGCTATTGAGGTTTTCTTTCACCATTTCCCAGAAATCATTAATGAAAGTCACTCTTAGAACTGCAGACTCTGTACTTTTCCTGGACAAAGGTGGGATTTTCTCTGCTACCTATTTGCCACTGATTGACAGCTATCCGCAGGAATAGGTAGATATCTGCATTTATGTTTAACTGGCTCAGGGTCTGGAAAGACTAACCCCGGCGTCCCATCTGGGATAGGGGAGGACCCAGAGCTCATAAATATTTGGCCAGCAAGTACCTTCAAGGTCTCCTGGAAGGTTGGGTCCACTGTGTTCTTTTGAACTCTGGTCTTGCGTTTCCCCTGGGAAGATCTGTCAGGCAGCAGGTAGATCTTTACATACCTAGTAACCAAACACAGACAGGACAAGGAGCAAGCTCAAAGAGGGCCAAAGAGTTCAGGTGAATACAAGCCACACACCAGTGCTTTCTTTAGCCTGTTGGTAGCCTGAAACGTTTTATTGAAATGATTTTCCCTTAATGTTTGAGCTCATTGTTCCACTTGTTTGTTTTTAGCTTTTTATTGTGAATTGAGTGAAGGCTTCCAGACAAGATCAACAGTTTTGCATTCAACAAATCCCAGAGTTTCCCTTCTTCCCTGTGTTTCCTATTGCCATTCCATCCCCCTTCCCATCCTATCTCAGTTCTGTTCCTTTTCTGATTTAGAATAATTGAGCATTCTATGGTAAACATATCTTACTGGTGTTGTTGTCCCCTACACATCTATCTACTGTTAGCTGAAACTGGGCCATGAAGGTGAGTTCCGTTCCAGACCTAAGGGTGGTCAAGGACCAGAGTTTCAGGTTTCTCCAGTCTCTTCCTAACCAGTAAGCCTGGTCTTTTTAAATTATTATTAACAATTTTGAATTTTGTTCTATATTTTCTCCCCCTCTTTCCGGGGCCTTCTAATGTGATCCCTTCTCAGAGCCGTTGGTAGTGGTGGCCAGACGCCATCGAGTTCTGGCGAAAGTGGATTTTGACGTGAATAAATGGGACTGTGGAGCATTAGTGTTGGTTGTGTGTCGTGGAGTCGGTTCTGACTCAAAGCGACCCTGCATAGGGTTTCCGAGGCTGTAAATCTTTACGGGAGCAGACCGCCTCATCTTTCTCCCATGGAGCGGCTGGTAGTTTTGAACTGCTGACCTTGAGGTTAGCATCCCAAATGGTAACCACTACACTACCAGAGCTCCTTGGAGTGTTAGCAGCAGTGAGCAATGTGGCTGGCAAGAGGCATAATTCTGATTTACACAGTCTTTGACCAAATGTTGACTCTGAGGGGTGTGAGACAGTCTGGTCTTCTTCATGCCCTACTCAGAATCGATCCCTTCATCACCTGTCATATGCCGAAGGTCAGGGAACCAGAGGCACTAAGGGCTTCAAGAGCTGTGAGCTCCTCTAATTCACCTGGACGTGAAGGTCATGAACCAGCTAGCTTTCCTCCCTTCACCTCACCACCCTCAGCAAAAGAAAAAAACAACAACAGGTGGGTGGAGATGAAAAGCATGCGTACTCACACTTTCTTTTGATTCTCCTTCTCCTGAATGTCAGGAAATGGAGGAGAAACTGCTGAGTTTGGAGGTAGCAAGACCTAGAGGTGGATGTTTTGTCTACCCTCTCAAATCTGGGCTTACAAGAAGATATGGCCCCTGTCCTGTTCTTGGCCGATCCCTCCATTTTGGCCCCTAGACAACTGTGATGGTTAATTTATGTGTCAACGTGGTTGTGCTATGGTGCCAGATGTTTGCTCAAAAACTAGTAAACTCACAAATGTAATCAAATAAATTGGCCTTAAGTAAAGTAGACTTGGAGTCTTGCTATGGCACTGGGGTAACAGCACTGGACTGCAAGGTCTGTTTGACCCACAAGGTCGGTGGTTCAAACTTACCAGCCACCCTTGGAAACCCTATACAGGGTATCTATAAGTTGGAAAGGCTTGATGGTGCTTAACATCAACAAAGCAGATTTACTAAGGACCAAGGAGCTCTGGTAGCGTAGTGGTTACGAATCAGGCTGCGAACTGCAAGGTCAGCACTTCGAAACTACCAGCTGTTCCGCGGGAGAAAGATGAGGCTTTCTGCTCCCGTAAAGATTTACAGCTTTGGAAACCCTGTACAGGGTCACTATGAGTCGGAACTGACTCCACGGCATATAACAACAACAACAACAAGGTGTGGGCAGAGCTTCATTATATTGTGTCAAGTATTGCAGAACTGACAGGATGGCATCTAACAACAAAAGGTATGTCTGACCCAAGACATGGGATTTTTATTTTCCTCGTATGCATGCAAAAGATGGGCAATCTATAAGGAAGACCAAATGAGAACTTTGAATTATGGTGTTGGGGAAGCATACTGAGTATCCCATGGACTTCCAGAACAAACAAATCTGTCTTGAAAGAAGTACAGCCAGAATGGGTTTAGAATAAGGATAATAAGACTTTGTGGCATGTACTTTGGGCTTGCTGTCAGAAGGACCAGTCCGTAAAGAAGGCCATCATGCTTGGTAAAGTGGAAGGTCAGCACAAAAGGGGATGGCCCTCAATGAAATGATTGATACAGTGCAGTAACTGCAACAATGAATTCCTAACGAGCAAATACTGTGACAATGCTACAGAACTGCTCTGTGCTTTTCACTGACCATAGGATCATTTGAATTGGAACCGACTGGCTAGTACCTTACAACCTTTCAAAGTGTGGGTGGACCTCATCTAAGCAGCTGAAGGTCTTCAGAGCAAAACTGGAGTTTCCCTAGCATTTATTCTACCTCTAGACAATGTTGTTGCTGTTAAATGCCATTTGCGTTGGTTCTGACCCATAGTGACCCTGTCTGTATAGGGTTTCCAACGAGTAGCTGGTGAGTTTGAACCACTGACCTAGTGGTTCAAGGCAATCTTGCAGTTGAATGCTTATCCTACAGCACCACACTTTAGATTATAAGTAGACTTTTATCAGAACTTTCTCACTCTTCACTTGTCCCATCGCTTGACCTATGGATTCTGAGATACAAGCCTGCAATTTCTAACTTACTTGTTACCTGAACTGTGGATTTTAAACTTGCCCACTTCCCATAATTCCCTGAGCCAATTCCTTAAAATGGTGGTGGTGGTTATGTGCCATAGAATCGGTTATGACTCATAGTGACCCTGCATAGGGTTTCCCAGGCTATAAATCTTTATGGGAGCAGAAAATGTCATCTTTCTCCCTTGGAATAACTGGTAGTTTCAAACAGCCCAACTCATAACCACTACCTGACCAGATTTCCTTAATTTCTCAAGGTCAGTTTGAGCCACAAGTTGGCAGTTTAAACTCACCAGTCGCACCTCAGAAACCCTATACAAGGTTGCTATGAGTCAAAACCAACTCGATGGCACTTAACAACAACATATAGCTATAAACACATACCCGTTCACACACACATTTCAGTGGTTGTTTTTCGAGAGAACTCTAAGACAACGATGTCTTCCAGCTATTGTGTTGGTGGCAAGGTTTCTGCTATCCCAGGCCCTATAACAGGCTAGAAACATGCTCAACATTCCCCAAACAGCAAGAGGCATCCCTCGATAAGTCCCTAAAGTATGTAGATCCTGAAGCTTAAGTCCAGCCTCTTGCAAAAGTGCTCCAAACTGACTGTCTCCAATTCCTCACCATTCATTTACTCTGAAATTATTTATCATGTTAAGATCTGACATATGCAAACAGCTTATTTAAAATACAGTTTAAAGTATTATAATACAATGCACATCCTTATACTTCCTATGTTGTTCTTAAGTGCCCTCCAGTCAGTTCCAACCCATAGTGACCTTTTATAGGAGGGTTTCTGAGAAGCAGCTGGTGAGCGTGAACTGCCGACCTTGCCGTTCAACCAGATTTGCAGTCCGGCACATTAACCCACAGCGCCACACCTTAAGAAATAATCCTGTCCATAAAAAGTAATAATCACCATGAATTTAGTATTTATCATTCTTTGTTTCCTCCTTGATAAGATATGTAGAAGTATGTTTCTTGATTTTCAAGCATTTTGTAATCTTCCAGATCTTCGGCTATTGATTTTTTTTTTTTTTTAACTTAATCTTTTATGGTCAGAACAATACACTGTGCATGGTTTTACTCATTTAAATTCATTGAGGCCTGTTTTATGGCCCAACATATGGTCTATCAGGGTGAATGTTCCATGTGCACTTGCAAAGACTCTGTACAGTGCAGTTGTTGCGTGCACTGCTCTATAGAAATTAATTATGTCAGATTACTTGATGCTCTTCAGTTATCCCACAGTCTTCCATCTCTGTTCTTCTTGTTTGTCTATTTGTACTATCAGTATGGTAGTAGAGGGGCTACTGTCACACAAAGATAAAAGAGCCAGGAGTGGAGTGTGCTGTTTGGCTCAGGGTCCCTGCACCGTGAAGCTCCTAGATCTTGGGGAAGATTGATTCCAAAGTCTATGGAGATCTCCAAAGAACACTGGCCACAACTCCTCTGTCGGTCTGTCGTACTGTGGTGGCTTGTGTGTTGCTGTGGTGCTAGAAGCTATGCCACCAGTATTTTAAATGCCACTAGGGTGACGCCTGGTGTGGCACTGAAGGTTGGTAGTTCAAAGTCACCAGCTGCTCCTTGGGAACCCTATACAGGGTCGCTATGGGTCAGGACCTACTTGACAGCACTTAACAACAATAACAAGGGTCACCCATGGTGGACAGTTTCAACTGAGCTTCCAGACTAAGCAAGCTAGGAAGAAGGAGAGGTGGACTACTGATCATTTAGCCACTGGAAAACTTAGGAACAGCAGTGGAACACTGTCAGACAGCATTGGAATACTGAAACTTGAAACATGATGCAGAGCACCAGAATATTGTCAGCTAGAGCTCTGGTAGCGTAGTGGTTACGAATCAGGCTGTGAACCGCAAGGTCAGCAGTTCGAAACTGCCAGCTGCTCCGCGGGAGAAAGATGAGGCTTTCTACTCCCGTAAAGATTTACACCCTCGGAAACCCTGCGCAGGGTCACTATGGGTCGGAACCGACTCCACAGTACTTAACAACAACATAGTGCCAGAAGACTATTATTTTTTCACCAGGAATTACTGATCCTCTTATCATTATGTAATGTCCTGCTTTATCACTGTTAATACTCCTTGTTCTAAGGTATGTGTGTTTTGTTTTAATATTAACATAACCAGCTGACTTGTTTATGATTATAGCTTTATGATATATCTTATTCCATGTTTGTTGCTTGGTTTTTGTTCTTCTTTTATTTCGTTTAATAGAATTTAAAAATTCCTTTTACCTCCTCTCTTGACATTTTCAGGAGCCCTGGTTTAACGTAGTGGTTTGTGAGTTGGGCTGCTAACCGC